AAAAAAAAAAATTTCATATTTTTTTACGAAAATTACGAAATTTAATGAAATTTGACGTAGTTCAAAATAGCCAAATTACTAGATAAAAAATAATTTATTTGCTCATTTTAACCATTAAGGCATTATCATTTATAATTTACCGTGGTACAATTAATTGAAATTTCGATAATCGAAAATCAATCAAATCGAAACAAAAAAAAAAAAAATCGAAATTCTTAATTAATGATACTTATATATATTACTATATATATATATTTATTAAATCATCATTATTTAAATAACTTTAATAACCCTTTTCAAATATTTTTTTATCCCCCTTTTCAATTTGTTTCGCACTTTTCGCTTTAACAATTTATAATCAATTCACATGATTAATTCTGCTGTTTTAACTAAACAAGTTTAACTAATTTGGGCCCAAATTAAAAATTATCAATTCCGGAAATCTGGCGTCATCTTAGTGTCATATTTTGAATTTATTGCGTTGGTTAATATATTTGTTTAGTTCTTTTTTTCACATATCACAAGATTTCCTTCTCGCATATTAAAAATTCCAAGTAAATCAATTGTAATATTACTCTTTTTTTTTATAACTGAAATGTTTATATAAAATCATGTTGTACACTGAACTACCATGCCGCACGGATAGTTTTTCATTAGTTTCGTGTAACATCTTCCATTAAAGGTCGTACAGTTTTCATTTCATTTGAACCAACTAAAAAGTCTGTCAGTATTAATCAAAATTATAATTATTGTTTTTTCCCTTTTTCGTTTCTTCCCTTTTTTCCTTCCTTCCTTCCTTCCTTCCTTCCTTCCTTACTTCCTTTTATATTTACTTTTTTTATTTTTAGTATTTTCACTATTTTCACTATCTAATAATGCCTCCGAGATTAGAAGAAGAAATTTCTGCCAAAGTTCTTGATGCAGAAGATCAATTCCCACTTCCTCTTGAAGAACCTTATCCTACCACAAATAAACCCGTTAAGGTTCCTTTACCTTATTATATTGATGGTGGAAAGATGATACTTAAACCATCAACTAATCGTTTTTGGAATTTTGCTAGTTGGTGCGCCATAACTTCTTGCGTTTTTATATGTAAATTTTTCTTAAATTTTTGTTCTTCAACCACCGTTTATAATAAAGAACCTTTTTTGAAAGAATTGATGGATCCTAAAAGAACTCGTCCAATTTTGACCGGTAATTTTTTTGTTTTAAAAAGAATGAATAAAATTTTTCAAACTTTAACATTATTTACTATTTATAATTATAGTCGCAAATCATTTGTCTACGTTTGTATTTCAACCCATTCTTTTTTTTAAAAAAAATCTGATCATATCCAAAATATATCCATTATCCAATTGACTAACCCATTTTTATCATTCCACCATAGGGTTGATGATCCGTTAATCTGGGGAAGTTTACCATTTGGTACTTTCCTAAGACTTTATAGAGTCCGTTGGACTCTTGGTGCTCAAGAAATATGTTTTTCTACTCCGTATGTTGAATAAAAAAAAAAAAATGTCACTTGTTTTCTATAATACCTCATCATTATTCTACAAATCAGATTTATTATTATTATTATCTTAGATTTCGTTCTAAATTTTTTTCTCTTGGTCAAGTTGTTCCAACTGTTCGAGGTGCCGGAATTTATCAACCTGCAATGAATTTTGCATTAGATAGATTGAATGAAGGAAAGTGGGTAAGTTATTATGCGTCATTAGACGGTAAAATTCCAATACCAATCATGAATAACAAATTTCTTTTTCAGGTTCACATATTTCCTGAAGGGAAAATAAATCAAACTGCTGATTTGTTGCGATTCAAATGGGGAATTGGTCGTTTATTGATGGAATCAACTAACTTACCTATAGTAGTTCCAATATGGCATAAAGGTCGGTGAATGGCGAATTTAATTTATTGCAACGTTCGTTAAAGTTAAAATATAAAAAAAATATTTCAAAGATTTTTACCTTCGAAATAAGAGTCAAATTAATTAAATTTTTAATAATCCTTTATTTAAAAAAAAAAGGTCTTGAAGAAATTATGCCAGAAGATAGAGATCGTCCATGGGTACCAAATTTCGGTAAAAAGATTATAATTGTTTATGGAAATCCTATAGATTTTAAAGATCTTTTAATTGATTATCATGAAGGTAGAGTTGATGAAGTGACAACAAGGATAAGCATTACTGATACGGTCTTTCGTGCCATGGATGAATTACAGAAAACAGCTGAATCTTTAGCTGGAAAAACAAAAAATAAAACATTATGATCGAATCATATAAACATATAGATATAATAATATATATAAAATATATTGTTTTATTTTTTATTTTTATTTTTTTTTTTTTTAGCTAAATAAAATAGAATATATTATTACATATTTGTACAAAAAATAAATTAATTTAATTTCCTTTTTTTTTTCAACTAGATTTTTAAAAAATACTTAGAATTGTAATTTTGGTTCGATAATAAAAGAGAATCAGAATTTAATATAAATTTTCAAAAAGTTCATAGAACTTGAATTTTTGAATTGATTTTAGAATTGTAATTTTGGTTCGATAATAAAAGAGAATCAGAATTTAATAAAAATTTTCAAAGTTCAATAGAACTTGAATTTTTGAATTGATTTTAGAATTGTAATTTTGGTTCGATAATAAAAGAGAATCAGAATTTAATAAAAATTTT